TTGAAAGCAGTTCTGAACGTACCATCATTAATTTCTTTTGATTGTTTTTATTGGCAAAACAATTAGCCTTCTGTTCTTAAATTAGCAATCCTTTCTTTTTCAATCTTTAGATCCATATTTCTATCCATTACATTTCAAAAAATACGAGAGTAGAAAATTCTGACCCAAAAGAGTTTTTGAAAACAAGAATTCCAGAAAATTTCCATTTTCTTGCAACAGAAGGTGGATGTAAACTTACCTCAATTAAATTAGCGTCAAATCTCAGTCAACAACAAACTAATTAGGTATTACTGACCGATGGTTATTATGCATTTTATATTATACGTGAATTTCTATTCTAGCACGCATAAAAACAAAAAAAAAAACATATTATTAGAACTTGCTTCCAAGAATCTACACGTAGATGTGAGCTCTACATTTTCCCTTGTTGCAGTAAATAAATTCTCTCTTGACTCAATGAAATTTAATTAGAATAACTTTCTTAATTCAGCAAAAGAGCCTTATTCATTACTCAAGGTTTACAGCTGACCTTTATCAGTCGTGTGCCCCTTTGGAGACAGAAGACATTCTGGTCGCTGAACTTCTTCAGCTGTAGCTGGGAAAGGTGATGTCAATTGATGTTCATTGCTGCAAACACATGTAGAAATAATTTATAAATGGCTGTATCTAATTGTGCTGATCCTATTATCTGAAGAAGAGAAAATTTGCGGAGAGCAGTTGTGAAGGTGTACTACTTTAACTAATGATTGCTAACTGCAAAAAAAAATTACGAAGCTTACCAGAAAAATAAATCATTGAAAATTTTTGAAATGGATAATCAAAACCTAAGTATCCAACCCTGGATAGATTGTGCCTTGCATAAAACATCAAATATGTCTTTTTCTTAGAACTGTGCTTGCTCAATTCCAAGTCTGTTAATATAACGATTACTGATCTTTTATTCGTTTTGAATCTCGTCTCTCACCGAGCTGTGATAAATATCTGGGAAGAGCAAACCGACCAAACGGGTATAGTAGGGTTTCAAAATCTACAGCTTCCATGTATGATATGCTCACCCATCTGCCCTCGACATGTGATTTAGGAAACGATCAAGACGGTCAGGATCCGTGTCGCGCAGCTTGTTGTACATCTTGCATTGTAGCTCTTTGGGGATCTAGAACTCTATGACTTTGATATTCTCAAAAGATTACAAAACATAACTACCCGAAATACTTCCTCCACATGTGTGATCATAGTTTCCACAATAGCAATCTGCTGTTCATTTTCAGCAAGAGTCGCGTGCAATTTCCCGTGATCGGGTCGAAGTATGGATGGAGCAAATATTGTTGCTAAATTGCGAGCGTCCATTCGATTGCCTTGCACGATCTCCTCAAAACATCAATTTTGGGACAAATGTTAGAGATATGGATCATTTTGATGAGATAAATTCATCAGTGATATGTGTCACTGGTGAAACAATCTCGTTTATTTGAACATCTCCTTAAATCGAAAGAAAAACTCCCTGGGTAAAGTTGTAAGAAAAAGTAGAAATTACCGATCAATAATCCCTCTTCGAAGGGGATAGAAGTGATAGTAAAAAGCTGCAAACTCAATCATGAGTAGTTCGACACAATCCAAGAAATTCTATGTACTTCGTAATATTTGTTAGAAGCCATATGAAATATAAAGTGTTGATGTTTACAACCGCCTCTTTCATGGAAGCTATTTTTTTAAAGGGAATGCTTGCTTCTCAAAGTGACTATTTATAGGAGGACATACACCAAAAGTTGTTTGAAAAAGGATATCTCAAATCTTCTACCCATGTGCTAAAGGCCTTTTCGGATAATGTTACAAGCATGTTTGGAGAGGAATAACTCTGGTATTCCTGCCAAAGCCGATGTGATGGGTTAATAAACGTCTTTCGATGTGGCATGCAGGTTCGGATTTTGTTGTCGGCACTCTTCGCATTTTTACCCAAAACCGTCAAAGAAATTGTTTGGGAAATGGAAAACAGATTTGATTTAGCCTTTCGAAAAAGACTTTTTCATGTAGTTTATTACGGATCCACATCGATATGAAAACATTCCCCTGTTGGGTCATCCGACATTTCCTCTCATTTTAAGAAGAAACATCATATTTTGCCATTTTCTAAACTTGGATAAAAGCAATTCCTCTTCCCTTTGCTCTCTCTAGTAAGGAAACGCTGTATAAATAATTTATCACTATGATGACTTACATCTACTTCACCTGCGCCGATTTGGTCATGACAATGTAGCGACACTTCATGAAGGAATTTCAACAATACATACAGCGTATCAATGTTTGGTGGTCCAAGCAATGAAATCAGAAGTCGAAGCACCTCAATTCGTTCTTCAAAGGAGTATCCTGTGGAAAACATCATTATTGATCAATCTTGGTGCTCTTGGACAAATTACTCACGAGCAGCGGTTATGTAGGCTTGGTAGTGCTCTCTAGGCAGCAGCGACTGCGGCAAGTCTCGAAAGTACTCCTTCAGAAGTGTTGCCACATCGTGTGCTGTGGTATTTTCGACTAAATCATCACTAATGGCCGTGCCACCTCCTACCTAAACAAACTTGTCTTCATGACGAAGTTGTGCCGAACATAACAAGAATTTACTTTTTCTAAGGTGCTTCTCAGTTGACGGCATCGTTTTGCGTTTCCAGCTACCCGAAAAAGTCCCACCGTCTTGAGACCTACAAGTTGGAAATAATTTATGGGAAGATGTAATTACTTAGGGGAGCTATGTGCTTACCATATGCCATGAGATACTGCGTACAATTCTCAACAATACGGGGCACTTGAAGAGGATGAG